ATTTACATTTTAAAGATTTATGGAAAAGAATAGTCTAAAATCTGTTTTGTTTTATTTTGTCAGCATGTAACTTTGGAAAGGAGTATAAAATCTCTGTACATTAGTCATTATTTATATTAATAGTCACAGAATTAATACTAAGGTGATCTAAATATTTGTTTTAAGGGTACAAAATTTAGATTATTCTCCTACCATACTGAAAGGACCACCTTAGGATATAGGGTAGCCCTGTATTAAACTGCTCTGGGGAGTGACCAAGAGATCCTTAATTATGCCCCAGTAAAAGCTCCTTAGGTAAACTGAGGTATTACAGAGATTTTAAGTCCTGAATCTATGAAATTTTCTATCTCTAAAATATTTCAAAGTGGACATGAAGATTTTAGCCCACAGAGATGATGGAATAAAATTATTCTTGCCAACTACACATTTTTATGATGGACTTTAAATATTTTTCAATTGGAAACTAGAAATTTACTGCATATGCATAAAAAGAAAATCCTCCATAAAGAAATTAACCATAGGAAGCATGAAATCTTCCGATTTCCTTTCTATGAATACCATCAAAACTACTTAAGAAATCCATTTTTAACTTGAGCCCAAGGACATTTCTCTTTATCAAATATTCCAAATGGAAAGATCCAGATTCTTATCTAAACCATGGAGCCCAGAACACTCCTATATTAGAGACTAAATAGTCTGTTAGGCATGTTTAACAGTATTCCTGTTGGCTTTTTTCAACAAATAGGTGAATACATTTTCCAAAACTAATATAAAACTAGCAAGCAGATTTCTGGCAAAATTATTCCAATTGATTGTAGTTATACCCTGCTCTATTTCATTAAGAAATAGCTAAGAAAAACTTCAGCATGTCATGTCCATTATTTATTAGCCTTTGATTCAATAGGTAGACACTACCCAGGGGTGAAAGGAACAAACTCAACATACAGCCTAAGCCATCAACGATTTTATAGATGAGAAAACAGATTCAGAGTTTGTGATCTAAAACACAGACTCTCAAGTCTGAGGGTTATAAGAAACCTGAACTGGTTTCTAATTCCACTACTTATCTAATCCTTGAAGTTCTTTAATGACCTTGAAAAGAGGTAAGTTATAATAGTTTCTGTAGCATACCTCAGGCTAAGATCTTCCTATATATCCTGAGGTGGCTTATTGTAGCATGGAAAGTTGTAACAGTTACACGCAGATGAAATTTTACCTGAAATGTTTATGTATTAGTCATATGTGACCTCTTACAGATGAAGATATTACAATATTTGAGGACCACAGTTAATTTCTATCCCCCTAAGTTTCTCTTCTCCATCATTTAAATATTATTCATATCAAAATTATCTTGGTTGTTTTCTACTAAAAGGGCTCTAAAATCCATTTTTACCCTTAAATATGGGGCTTTGAGTAGTATGGCAACAACAAAGAATAATTGGGAATCTTATTTTTTTTCCCTTTCCTCACTTAGTAACTAATATGTAAGGTTTCTAATGTGTAAAAAAACCCCACGAAGTCCAGTTTAATTGCTCAATGAGTACTTAATAAAGATCTATCACATATCTCCTCTAACTTGGGAGTACGTAGTTGTTCTCACCTTCTCTATATCCAGAACTTTATCCTGCATCTCCTTTAGTGCACACTGAGACTCAGCTTCACTCAAACGGGCTTGGACCAATTCCTTTTCTAGCTGTAGCACAAAATCTTCACTGTAGCTGGAACTGCATTTATGCTGCAAATTATAGACATATACTGAAATTTCATGACGCATGAACATGTAACAACATACAATAAAAATAAATGCAATTACACAATGCAGTTATCAAGGGCAACCAAATAGTGCAAGTTTCATTTACCCAATATTTTCAGCATATTTCCTCTAATTAACTTTCTAATGAATTTTAAAAAGTCCACGTTTGATATATATAAAGATGATCACATTATTAGGTTTTGGTAACTCGTTATTACACTAATGAAATCCAATTTATAGAAGATAAATATCTCTTTCTCTCTTTCTATCCATCCAGATACTAAGAATTTGTCTGACTCTACAGACCTGCACTGTACAATAGTGGCTACAGAGCACCTGAAATGTGACTAGGCCAAATTGAGAAAGGTTATAAGTGCAAAATGCAAACTGGATTTTGAAAATACGAAATGCAAAAGGCAAAATATCTCATTAATACTTTTTATATTGATCACCTGTTCAAATAATATTTTTAATACACCGAGTTAAACAAAAAACATTGTTAATTTTATCTGTAATTAACTACTACTTTTAATATGGCATTTAAAAACACATATGTGACTCACATTATATTGCTAATAGACAGCACTGTTACAGACTACAGAAGACAAGTACACATTTACTGGAAATTCTATTTTAATCTAATAAAAATAAAAACAAGGGATCCACAATGATGTGAACCATCCTAAACCCCAGTAAAACAAAAATGTTTTTACTCTTAGAAATGTAGATCTCCTTAAAGGTATGCATGAAAATGATTGCTTGAAGCAGAGGAAAATGCAGATGTTGCATGAAGAAATTAATCATGGAAGCATGAAATCTTTCCATTTCTTTTCCTACTCTATAATGTGAATACCAATACAGCCACATAAAAAAAACAAACCCTTTTTAAATGAGTTTCTATACAAAGTTGTTCTAAAAAAGCAAAAAGATAGCTAATTCACCACTATAAAAGACTTCCTAAAATAAACTATGACTTCACATTTAATTCATGCAAAGAAAAAGTACAACTCAAAATTCCAAAATAGTCACAGAGAACAATCCCCCACTGAACTAGCATGAGTAAAGAATGGGNTGATTGTTCAAGTCACCATATTACACAACTTTAGAAAGCATCACTCATATTATATTCTACATCAGTGGTTCTCAACCAGAGGCAATACTGTCCCCCACACCCCCAGGGACATATGGCAATGTGCGTAGACACTTTTGGTCATCATGACGTGGGGTGGGGGTGGAGGGACACATGGTGCTATTGGCATCTAGTGGGTAGAGGCCAGGGATGCTGCTAAACATCCTAAAATGTACAGGACAGTCCCCACAATAAAGATTTATCAGGTCTAAAATGTTAATAGTGTTGAGGCTGAGAAATTTTGCTTTACATGAATATTCCCTCTCAAGCTGTGCAACAAGGCAACAAAGTCAAATGGCGTTTCATGACTTGATTACACTTTGTTGAATGGGTCAGAGACATTAAACCTCTGATATCAAAGAACACAATTTTTGGCCCTTTTTATTTGGGTTAGAAAATTCTAGACATTTAGACAGTTTCACATGTCCACCTTTTAGCTCAATTCTAGGGAAGATACAGTCTGCACATAAACTTTTGATCTGCTAGATATTTTTTAAAGCAATTGGGCTTTCCATCATACCTGTGTTTCCATTTCCATCATCCTTTGTTTTATTTCTCTTATTTCTGCCTGTGTTTCAGCTTCTCTAAGTCGAATGGTCATCAGTTCATCTTGCAACTCATTCACAGCATTTTTCTTAGGTGGGTCTTTCCATCTCCCACTAGTACGAGCTAAGTGGCGCTAAAACACAAAAAATTATATTGCAACAAATATTCCCAGTATCAAAATAAAAGCTAATTTTATTGAGCAATTATTTCAGGCCCGGTGTTTAATAAGCACTTTATATGCATTACTTTAATCCCCAGAAAAATCTTAAAAGTTAGGCACTATTGTCTTCATTATACAGGTATGAAAATGTAAATTGTGATTAAATAACTTCGGAAAGGTCACACTGCAAATCTTACTGCCAGTAAGTTTCAGATCTGTGATATAAGCTCATATACAGTGCAATTTTTTTATACTGTGGATTAATTATTGTAAAGAACACAATTTTTACCCTAATTTTTTATGAGAGGGTTTCACATTTTTAATGAAGTTCCACGTAAAGGAAAAAATGGGGCTATTCATTTATTAAGGAAGCCATACCAGAAGTTAAGAGCAGTGTTCTCAAAATATCTGTGGTGATGGTTCAGTTTTGTTGGTTTTTAATTTCCAGTTTATTGCGGCCTGATACTGTCGCCAAAAAAAAAGAAGCCACGACAATATCAAGGACTAATTTCAATCTTTGCTAGATGCATCACCTACCCCAAATTCAAATTAAGATCATTATTCTAATACTGTGTAGTTTTTGTTTTCTTCCCTCTCTCCCTTCTGTTTCATATTTTCTGTGAACAAATGTGAACATATGTGAACAAACTTGTTGGCATATAACTAGCTAAATGTCTAATTTATTTTGTGAGATAATAAATTTTCAAAAAAGTTACAAATTTATAGACGAATTTATATTGGTGTTAACCTCCTGCTATTTCATACTAAAAAATGGATTTAATATCAACAGAAGAAATATGTACTATATAAAGGGTTATTTTCTTATAGCTTTATAGAGAAAGATATATAAATTACAATAGTATGACAACAAAAATATGGCTTGATCTCTATTTTATCTTATATTTAATTATAAGTTAAAAAAAGGGAGAAACAGCTTAAAGGTACTTGCAATTTATAAACACTTTCAGTTTTGTACATTAAACTAAGTTTTTCTCACTTTTAAACTCATAGCCTAGTGTTGGTCACCAGCTACTTCAAACTCACACAAATTGGATATTCAGGTTGTACTCTCTCTTTAAAAAGCACACAAAATATACTGATATACCTGCCAGTGCTCCTCTAAATCCCTGACTTGTTGTCTAAGCTCTTTCAAACCCATAATAGCTTCAGCTTCTCTCAGTTTCACAGCAATAAGTTCTTCCTGAAGTCTTGCAATGTTATTCTCATCAGGAAAGGAGTTGTTTCTCTAAAGCAAAAGAAAATTTAATTGGGGATTTTAAAATTTAAACAATAAAATAAAATATAGCATATATAATAAGAGCTATTTTGTCCCATATGTAATCATAATTAATTTTATAGTTTTATAGAGATATAATTCACAAACCATAAAACTTATCTTTTTAATGTGAACTAGTCAGTGGTTTTTAAGAGTAATCACAGGGTTGTGCAGCCACTGTCACAATTTAATTTTAGAACATTTTAATCACCCCAAAAAGAAACCCTGTAACTCATTACCAGTCACTCCACATTTCCCCTTCCCCCAGCACCTGGCAACACTAATCTACTTTGTCTCTATGGATTTGCCTATTCTAGACATTTCATATAAAAGGAATTATACAATATGTGGCCTTTTATGAATAATTTCTCTTAGCATGTTTTCAAGATTCACCCCTTTATATGGCCAAATAACATTCTGTTACATGGATATACCACATTTTATTTATCCATTCATCAGTTGTTTTCACTTTTTGGCTGTTATGAATAATGCTGCTATGAATGTTTGTGTAAAAGTTTTTGTGTGGACATACGTTTTTCATTCTCATGCATATATACCAAGGAGCAGAACTACTAAGTCAGATGGCAATTCAACATTTAATTTTTAAGAA